GAAATGCCGAAAGTTCAGGTTTGTTCATAACCACCACCTCTGATCTTTTTTGTCCCGATACTTCACTGAGAATTGCTCAAAGTACGATAAACTTGCTCGAGCAGCTAAAAGTGTGCTCTCCGGTTACAACAGAAATTAACTGCTTTTTACTAACTGTTCTCTACTTGCTGTTCACAGCACTACCAAACAGCAAACTCCAGATATTCAAGACTCTGCTTGGCCTAGTACTCCAGTTGCATGCTGAAGCAATCAAGAACGGAAACTTGTCACCAGCAAAAACACGCTTAGTCCTATGACGATGGTCTAACTGCAAATAAATTTGCTATTTTGTAACTCAACCAAGAAACCAACAACTCAAATCAAGACTGCTCCATGGAGATTTCACTGTTAGAAACAAAATATAAAAAAATTTTATAGAAAAATGAAAATGTAACCAAATTGGGTTTCACAATAAATGACATCCAACAGCTTACCCGGAGCAGAATCAGACGCTACCCTCTTTTTCCTATCACCTCGCCTAAAAACGACAAGACTCACCTACAGTGTGATAAAGATGTAATGCTATCGCTGTCACAGTTTAATCATGCTCGAGAAAAAGTAACTGAGAAAAACTTGTCGTCAAGTGTGGTTTAAATCATGATCCTTGTCACTAAGAAAAGAAATGCAGAACCATAGCACACAAACTGTAAAATGGGACATACAGCCAGTTTTAGAGAGATGAAAAATTCTCATAAGTGCGGACAGATCCGGGCACACAAATCTTATGAACACCCTATTCGTCTCCAAATATCAACACATTAATTTTAACCGAAGTCCAAACTATCTGAAGATGACTACTTAATCATTGCTTCAAAAGCATGAATAGAAATTAGTACAGCAAATCAAAATATTCAAAACAAAAAGCAGACTCTATCAGACATATTTGATTGCTAGTTCTAAAATTTCTTTTAAAACATACATTTCTTCATCATATGCACCAACTATTATTTTTTGTTTATCTTTATATTTTTTAAATGTTTTTTCTACTATCCCAGTAATAGATTTAAAATTAGCAGAATGGCCTGAATAATTACTTTTTCTAGCATCCATTAATAGCATTAAAGGGTTTTTTGAAATATTTTCTATTTCCGTTTTACCAAAAATATCTAAGTCATCAATTACAAAATTAGACATAAAAAACAATATCGCCATCTTCTGTTTGGAAGTTATAACCATAACTACCAAGTATTGAATTAGCTAGTGAAAAGGGTTTAATTGTAACATTACCTAATTTAATAGGATTTTTTAGGTCAATAATTTCATAAGTATCATTTTCTATTTTATATTTTGAAATTCTGTCTTTAATAACTTCATTAGTAAAATGACTTCCATATATCTTAAGGTTAGGAAATTCCATCAATAATCAAGGCAAGCCTGCAAATACTTCATCATGAGCATGAGTGATAAAAAGACCTTTTATCCTATTTTGTCTTGTATATAAATATTGATAATCTGAGATTAAACAATCAACTCCATATTTATTAGTGATAGGGACTTTAATCCCATAATTTATGATATAAATGTCATTATTAACTTCTAAAACATAACAGTTCTTACCATTTTCATCTTGCCCACCTAGTGCAAAAATATTAATATTTGCCAAAACATAACTCCTTAAATTATTAATCTTTTATTTTAAAATTTGCTTATCTTAATTAGTAAGCAATTATAAACTAGTATATACTAATTTTTATTTATCAAGTTGATTTATTCTATCTAAATGTCTTCCTTGTTCAAAATCTTCTTTTAAATAATGATTAATCATTCTTATTGCTTTTTCTGGAGTTACAATTCTTCCGCCAAATATTAACACATTTGCATCATTATGTTTTTTAGCTAATTTGGCTTCTTCTAAAGTATTTACTTTTGCTCCTCTAACACCTTTAAATCGATTAACTGCGATAGAAATACCAATTCCTGTCCCACAAATTCCTATTCCAAGACTGTGTTTAGTTTTTAAGAGAGTGTTTGCTAATTTTTGACCCTGTTGTGCATAGGAAATAGCTTTATCAGGATCGTTTGCCCCTAAATCAAGTATCTTTATATCAACATTACTAAAATGTTTTTTAATCGCTTCTTTTAAATCATATCCAGCATGATCACTAGCAATAATAATTTTTTTTATCATAATTTATTTCTCTCCACTTCCTTTTTCGTTTTTACATCTATTAGTTTAGATGGTATATTGCTACCTTCTCCAAAATTATAATGCTTTTTAATTATATTAAATCTTTTTATTGCTTCTTCAAAGCTTAAAACTGGTTCCCCAGATATATTAGCACTTGTCATATAAATGGGTCCTATTTTGTCTATTAAAGCAAGTAATTTTTTATTATTAGGCATTCTTAGCGCTAACTCATGATCGATTATTAATGTATAAGCTCCTGGTCAATATTGTTTAGAAAACTCTTCTATTTGCTGATTTCATTTTTTAAAACTTCTAGCCTGTTTATAATCAGAAATCATAATCACCAACTTCTTATGTGGAGGTCTTTTTTTAATTTTATTAATAAGTTCTAAATTCGATGTACTTACTTTTGCTCCTATTCCAACTACTGTATCAGTGGTAGCAATAAATAAATCTTTATAAACCATTTATATAATTATAACTTTAAAATTATATTATGCCTGAATTACCAGAAGTAAAAACCGTAGTAAAACATCTTAATCATTATTTAAAAGACAAAACTATATTAAAAGTAGAAATATTATTTGATAAATTAATTAAAGAAGTTGAAGTTAAAGAATTTGAAGAAAAATTAAAAAATCAAAAAATATTAAACATAACTAATTATGGCAAATTTATTGTTTTTGAGTTAAAAGATTTAATTCTTTTATCTCATTTAAGAATGGAAGGAAAATATCGAATTTCTAATAAGTCAAATTTAGAAGAACATGAACATCTAGTTTTTTATTTGGATAATAATAAATATTTATTCTATAAAGATGTAAGAAAGTTTGGTACATTTTATTTAAGAAGAAAAGATAATTGAAAAACAATCAAGCCAATTAAGGATATGGGAGTTGATTTTGAAAAATTAGATATAAACTTAAGTTATAAAAATTGCATTAAAAGAAATATTAATATTAAAAATTATTTACTAGATCAAACTCAATTTTTAGGATTAGGAAATATCTATGTATCTGAAGTTTTATGGCATTCTAAAATACACCCTTTAACAATTTGCAAAAATATTACTTTTTTTAAATGAAAAGAAATAATCCAAAATGCAATTCAAGTTTTAAAAGAAGCAACTTTAAAAAATGGGACTAAAATAGCAACTTTCAAAGCATTAGATGAAGTTGAAAGTTATTATCAAAATGATCTAAAAGCCTATTTTCAAACCAACAAAACTTGTTCTAGGTGTCAAAAAGGAATTATAAAAAAAATAATGATTAGTAATAGAGGGACTTATTTTTGTCCAATTTGTCAAGTTTTATAAGCGATTCTCGGTTTATTGTTTATATCATTTAAAATAGTAAAACCTTTATCTTCTAAAAATTTTTGATTATCTTTAGATATTTCAAAAATTAAATAACCATTAGGTTTTAGATAATTATCCACTTCTTTTAGTATTTTTTTATAGTTTTTATTTACATCATTACCAGCAAAAAGTGCATTTTTAGGTTCGAATTTAATAACAGAATCATCTAGTTTATAATCTTTTTTTATATAAGGTGGGTTAGATATAATAACATCAAATTTTTGATTTATATTTTTAAATCAAGATGATTGAATAATTTTTATGTCCAATTTATTAATATATGCATTTTCTTTTGTTTGGTTGATTGCACTTTTACTAATATCAGAGCAGACTACTTTGGTATTTGGTTTTTTAGCTTTTATTGTTAGACCAATATAACCACTTCCACAACCTAAATCCAAAATAGAATCATTTTCTTTTATTTTTGTTAAAGCAAATTCTACTACTTCTTGAGTTTCATATCTAGGAATTAAAACTTTTTTATTTACTTTAATTTTTAAATTATCAAAATCAATAAAACCAATAATTTTTTGAAATGGAGCGTTTTTAATTAGTAATTTTTTTTCTTTATTATTGATTTTAGCTTTTAAATTATGTATTTTTTTAAAATGTAAAAATTTTTTAATTTTGTTTATTAGTTGCATTTTCTATTTTTTGACTTTGCTCTAAAGCTAATAATGAATTAATAATAGAGTCTAATTTACCATTTAAAACAGTTTTTAAAGAAATAGATAGATTAATTCTATGATCTGTTACTCTATCTTGTGGGTAATTATAAGTTCTAATTTTTTCGCTTCTAGCACCAGAGCCCGCCATTTTTCGATAAAAAGAATCTTGGTCTTGCTTTTTTCTTATTTCTAGTTCATATAACTTACTTTTTAATAAATTTAGTGCCATTTCACGATTTGCTATTTGACTTCTTCCATCTTGTGATTGAACAACAATGTTTGTCGGCAAATGAGTTATTCTTACAGCCGAATCTGTTTTATTTACATGTTGTCCACCAGCACCTGATGCCCGATAAGTATCAATTCTTAAATCACTAGGATTTATCTCGATATTAATTTCCTCATCAACCTTTGGCATCACAGTTACTGTCACAGTGGAAGTGTGAATTCTATTTAATGCTTCAGTTACTGGTACTCTTTGTACTCTATGTGCACCTGTTTCAAACTTTAGTTTCCCATAAGCGTTTTCACCTATAATTTCAAAAATAAGTTGACTAAAACCACCAGCCTCTCCTTCAGAAGAAGTCAAAATATTTATTTTAAAATTATTTAAATAGGCTCATTTTTGGTAGATATTAAATAAGTCTCCTGCAAAAATATTAGCTTCATCACCACCAGTAGCCCCTCTAATTTCCATAATAACATTACGTTTATCATCTGGATCTTTTGGTAAAATTAGAATTTGTAAATCTTTTTCTAGGGTTTTTTGTTGTTCTATTAAAGTATGCAATTCTTCTTTAGCATATTGAATTAATTCTTGGTCAGTTTCATCATTTAAAATAGTTTTAGATTGTTTTATTTGTTCTAAAGTCGATAGATAGAAGTTATATGTATTAAATAAAGGACTAAGCTCAGTTTGCTCTTTTGTTAGTTTCTTGTAAAGTTCTAAATCAGAAATAACTTTAGAATCTAATAATAAATTTTCAATTTCTAAATAACGAGATTTAATTTTTTCCAATGAATTTAATAATGATTTATTCATAAAAAAGTAAATTTAATTATAAAGAAACTATTTGATTAAATAAAAAGTTTAAGTTTTTATTATTATGAATTAAGTCATTATTAAGCAATTATTTATTATAATTTTATTTATTTTTATTATGAAAAAAGATCAAGAAAAACAGCTTACACTTAAAAATGTAACAATGATGGGTATTAGTTATGTTTTTGGGATAAGTTATACATTAATGTTTGTTAGCATAATGGCTGGATGAGATGGTACAAAATCAACTCCTCAGATGGGTTGGCATATTATTTGGATTTATGTTTTAGTTGGAGCTTTAGCCTATGTCTGTATTAGAGCATATGTTAAATTAATCAACATCTTTCCTACAACTAATGGCGGAACCTATCAATATGTTAGAACTGCTTTTGGTAGGTTTTGAGGTTTCTTTTGTGCAGTTTTTCAATATGCAGTTTTGCCAATTACTATAGCAGGACCGGTAATAGGGGCGTTTAAAAACAGTTTTGGTTATATTGTGAAAAATGGTGAGGGTATACCTTTGATTGTTGCTAAGCCGCAACTTAATGATTCCTTGTGAGGCTGGGGGGGGGGGCATTTATATTTAGATTTAATCGCTATTGGAGTCTATTTACTAGCTTGCTCTATTGTCTTATTAGGTGGATCTAAGTTTAAAAAATATGCAACATATCTTATAAGTTGTATTTGGGCTTTTTCATTTTTAGTAATTATTTTGACAATAGTAAATTTCGCTAAAAATGGTACCGAGCCATTTTTGGATAAATTTGATTCTAGTTTAATAGATTTTAAATTTAGTAATTTTAATAAAGTAGTTATATCGATTTTCTTTTCTTATACTGGATTAGAAGCAGTGGTTACTATGGGAAAACAAATTAAAAATAGAAAGAAAACAATACCGACCGCAATTAATATTGTTATTGGTTTTGTGATGGTATTTTATGTTGTTTTTACATTAGCTATGTTTGGAGCAATTAAAACCAAAGGTTTTTCTGACAACCCAATTTTTCAACTTTTTAATCAATTAGGTGAAAATGGAGGAAAATTTGGCTTATGACTGATGATTATTCTTACTTTTTTGATAAGAATGAATGCTTGGTATCAAAAGACACTCTATGGAGGTAATATTTTACAACCCCTTTCAAAAGAAGGTTATATTTCAGAAAAATTTGGCGATCTTAATAAAGATAATTTACCTATGAAAGCTATTATGGTAAATATGTCAATAGCTATAACAACAATTATTTTAATGGTTATTTTACCTGACATAATTGGTTGAGCTACAAATGGTAAGAGTTCAATGCCTTTTAATATTTCCGATGTATCTGGCCTTACTTCGATATTAAACTTAACCACTTACTCACTAGCGATTTTGGTTGTATTTTATTTTGCATACAAAAAGAATATAACAATGAAATGATATGAATGAATAGCTTATGGAATTGCTTTTGCTTTTATGATATTACAAATTACAATGTTTTTTGTTAACCAATTCGAAGCATTATATAAAGATGGTAAATTACAAGCAAATCCATTAATTAAAATGGGGTTATTGTTAGCATTCTATTCATTTATATTGATAGTATATTTCTTTTATTATCAACCAAAATTGAAAAAGCGTATGTCTACTATTGAAGGACAAAACCTACAAAAAGAATTGGATGAGCCATTCCAAATCATAGAACAAAAATCTATTTAAATTATTTATTTATATCAATTAGAAAGTTTTTTGTAATTTAAAGTTATAAAATATTTAATTATGAAAAATAAAATAAAGTTGATAGATAAAAGAAATGAAGATTTATATTTAATTAAAGGAGTTTTTGAAGATCAAAAAAAACACTTGTTCTGTAATTAAAAATGAAAAAAATAATTACTTAATCTGCCCTGAAAAGAAAATAATAAAGTTGTTTTTAGGTAAAAAAGAAAAACTAAATTATTGAAAGTTAGAAAAAGCATTAAAAGATTTTATTGGTAAAATTTCAACTAATTTTGATCTAGAAATTGATATTGATAGTTTTATTTTAAATGAAACCAGTCAAAGAGATATAGTTCAACTTTGAACTGAATCTATTATTTATACTTTGCATTCGCCATACAAAGTAAAAAATGACAAGAGATGATGCTGTCAAAATCAATGCGATGTTAAATGCGAAGTAGAAAGTAGTTGTAATAAGTCTAGTTCTTGTTTTGATTGTAAATGCGATAAAAAAAGTTGTTTAAAAGATAATAATTGTAATTCTAGTTCATCTTGTTTTGATTGTAAATGCGATAAAAAAAAGTTGTTTAAATAATTATCACTTACTAGTTTCAAATATCACTAGCGAGTTAGAAACTACATTAAATAATTCTATTGTTAAAGCTATTTCAGTTAATATCACTCGTGATTTACAAGATACCCCACCTAACATATTAAATAGCGAAGAATATGTAGTTAGAGCATTAGAACTTTTTAAGGATAAAGATAACATAAAAGTTAGTTATTTAAACAAAAAAGAAATAGAACAGTTAGGAATGGGTCTACTTTTAGCAGTTAATGCCGGTTCTAATAAAGAAGCAAGATTTATAATTATAGAATATCTAGGGAATCCTAGTTCAAAAGAAAAACTTGGCCTTGTTGGTAAAGGAATCACTTTTGATAGTGGAGGATATTCTCTAAAATCATCAGATTTTATGATAAATATGAAATTCGATATGTCAGGAGCAGCTGTGGTGACTGGGGTTATGTACGGGCTTTCTTGTCTTAAGCCTAACATTAATGTAATAGCTGTAGCTGGATTAACTGACAATAGAATTGGTCAAAACGCCACTTTAGTAGAAAGTGTTGTTAAATCATTGAGTGGTAAATATGTAGAAATTGGTGACACTGATGCTGAAGGAAGATTAGTTTTGGCAGATGGGATTAGTTATCTTGTCGAAAAAGCTAATGTTGATAAAGTAATTAGCGTGGCTACTTTAACTGGATCATGCAGAAGAACTTTGGGAGAATGAATGGTTGGAAGTTTTAGTAATAATCAAAACTTCTATGATGAATTTATTAGTAAAGCTCATACTAGCAAAGAAAGAATTTGACAACTTCCAGTAATTGATGAACATTATGATGTGATGAGAGATTCTAAAATTGCTGATTTAAATAATTTTCCTGGAGAACTAAAAGCAGGAGCTTCTACAGCGGCAGCTTTTTTATTTGAATTTGCTAATCATAAACCTGCCATTCATTTTGATATAGCAGGAACAGCTTATGAAAATAAAAGAGGTAAAGGGATAATGGTTAAAACCATTTTAGAATATCTAGTTAAGTAATATATAACTTTAATTCACGATAAATAATATAAATTAAATAAGAGCAACCAATCATTAGTTGCTCTTTTTTTATAGTAATTAACTGTTACTTTATGTATTAAGTATTAGTTTTAACTATAAAAGTGTTATTTTTGTTTAAAATTATGATAATGAATAAATCAAATATATCAGAAAATGATTCAAGGGATTATTATCTTAATCAGTTAGTTTCTAAATGTGGGTTTCGGCCAATAACAATTTCTAAGGATGAAATTTATGATAAATTTATATATAAACCATCGTTTAATAAATATTTAAAAAATAGATATCCTAATATAACTGATGATGAAATAAAAAAAAATTATTAAAACGATTGAATCTGATCTATCAATAGATAATTGGCTAATTAACAATAAAGTTGGCATTAATTATTTGCGAACTTCTATTCATATAAAGAATGAAAATAATGAGTCAAAAAACTATAACTTATATGATGAACAAAAAATCAATGATAATATTTGAGAAATAGCAAAAGAAGTTTGGATAGGTTTTCAATCTAGACTTGATTTGGTTATTTTATTAAACGGACTTCCTATATATGTATTTGAATTAAAATCTATGGTTAATAGAGCAACAATACAAAATGCTGTTGATCAAATAAATAGATATGCTAGAGATAACGCTAAGTTTTTCACATTTAATACAGCATGTATAGCTATGACTACAGAAATGATGGCTAAAGTAGGAGCCCCTAATATTGATTTGGAACATTGATTTAAAATAGAAGAAGTTCAAGGTGATGAATTAACAAAAATTAAACGTATTGAAAAAACTTTTTATCATTTTTTTAATTATAGTTCTATTAACAATTATATAAAAAATGGAGTCTTGTTTGAAAAAGGAAATAACCCTAAAAAAATTATATTAAAACATCATCAATTAAGAGCAAGTATAAAGGTTATGGAAGTGCTAAAAGAGAAAAAAGGGGGCCTTATTTACCATGCTCCAGGTTCTGGAAAAACTATCACTATTTCTAGTATAGTAGCTAATGCATTAAACAAATCTGGCATAGGATCGACAACTTTTATAATAGATGTTGATAGGAAGGATTTAATTTCCAATATCTTTAGACAATTTGCCAGTTTAGATCAAGTAACAATTGATACTAAAATAAAAAAAATTGAAAGTAGAAATGAATTAAAAGAAATATTAAAAAATGTTGAAAGTCGTGGCGTCTATATGACAACGACTCAAAAGTTTTCTCATAATGAACTCATTAGTAATAGAAGTGATATTGTAATATTAACAGATGAAGCACATAGAACACATAAAGATAGTGATACTAGTATTATAAAAAAAGATTCAAATGACATAAAAAATGATTGAAATGATGTAGTTTTAAAACAAATTACTTCATATTTTGATAAAATGAAAACTTCTTTTCCTAATGCAACTCTAATTGGTTTTACTGGTTCTCCAATAATGAAAAAAGATTTGGAGACTACTAATAAATTTGGTGAATATATTGATATTTACAATATGAAAGAAGCTGAAGAAGATGAAGTAATTACTAAAATTAATTTTAATTGATTCCAAATTAAATTTTCAAACATAAACCATGATCCCGCTTTAGAAAGTTTGAATAATAAAAAAACAAATATAAATGAAAATGCCAAAATTATAGATTTACACCCTGAAAGGTTAAACTTGGTAGCTGATGAAATTGTTGCTAAATTTAAAAAAGCTGAATATGATCATTATTTAACTCCTGGAAATAGAACAAACGACGTTTTTAAGGCTATGATAGCTGCAAATAGTATCGATCATGGTTGAGCCTTGTTAAAAAAACTACAAGAAAGAAAAATTACTGATAATGATGAGCAAATAAAATTAATAGCTAGTGATTCGCATTTGCATTCACCAAAGGATGTTGAAGTAGCTGAATACCTAAGAAGCCATAATGAATCTCAAATTATTGATAAATTTAGATACCCTAACAATAGCGAGTATAAGATCTTAATAGTGGTAAATAAGTGTTTGACTGGTTATGATGTTCAAAATCTAAGAATGTTATTTATTGACAAGGACTTAAAAGAGCATAATTTATTCCAGGCTATAATGAGAGTTAATAGAGTCTTTAAAAATAAAAAAAGAGGGATTGTTGTTTGTTTCAGACCATTAACTTCAGAATTAAAAGATGCATTGAAAATGTATAGAGAAAATTCTAAAGATGATTCTCCTATCATTGATAGTCATGAAAATTTTGCCGCTATAGTTATTGACAATATTAAAAAATTTGAAGAACACTATGTTGTCCCCGTAGTTGATAACAAATTAGTAGTATGGATTAATGATACTGTTAGAGAAATTTATTTAATGAATGAAGTTGAAAAAAAAGAAGTTCTTTCTATTTTAGACGATATTTATTCTGCAAAGGATTTAGCGGATTTTAAAAAAGAAGAAGAGATATGAAAAACAAAGTTGGAATATCTTAAAATTCTTATTGTAGCCTATTGAAAACTACAAAAAGAAGATCGAGCCGTTTTAAAATTAACAAAAGAACAAATTGCATTAATTCACAAGAATTCTTATATTGATATAGAAAATTGTTTTTATGTTATTAATGATTTAGAATTAGATAAACTGATAGATAATCCTCATATCAATAATGTTAGTGTTTTTATAAAACCTATCAAAGATAAATTAATTAAAAAAATAAGAAAAAATAAAGTTCTAACAGACCAAGAAAAGAATGATTTTATTGACCGGATTATAAGTATTTATAATAAATGAAATAAAAGAGTAGAAAATGAAAAGCAATTAATCCAACAAATTGTTGGAATACAACAAGAGATAACAAACTTAGATCACAATCTTGATGACTATACTAAAATATTGATGAAAACATTTAAAGAACAACTAGGAAATTCATACAAATTTGATGACTTAGGATGGAAAACAATAAATGAATTTTTTATTGAAAATAAAGACAAATTAGAGCGTGATATTAAATCCAATAGCAATAGAGTTCAAGCTAGGCTTAAATTTAACATTTCAAATGTTATTAAAGAAAACAATAAGAGCTTAACTAACCAAAAATTAATAAATAATATAATAAACAATTTTTTTCAACTATTGTTAGAGGACTATTAATATTTTTTTTAATTAAGTTAAAATTTTAATCAAACTATATGGATACTTTAAATTTAAGAAAAATCGAAACTGAATTAAATGGATTAAGAGGTAAGATTAAATCATCTGATTACTATAAGATCATTATATCAATCTTGTTTATCAAATTTGCTACGTCGCAATGTGAATTAACATGAAACAATGTTAAAGATGATTATGAAAATAATTATGATGATTTTTTGGAATGTCATAATGATGCTAAACTATTAAAAGTTGACTATCAGTTTCTCTGATCAAACATTAGAAGTTTTACTGGAGATGATCTAAAAAAAGCATTTAATGAAGTATTTGATTCATTGGAAAAATTTATGAAAGAGGACGCAAAAGATTTAAGAATTATTGATTTTATGTCTTTCAAATTCTCTTTTCATAAGTTAGTAGAATGTATAGATAATAATTTTAAATATGATAAAGATAAATACTTTGACACTTTTGGACAAGTTTATGAATACTTTATGGGGAGATATAGCGCTATAGAAAAAAAAGGCGGAGAGTTTTATACTCCTACTTCTATTGTAGAATTAATGTCCAATATTTTAGGAAGTAAGTTTGATCATAATGTTTTTAGTGATATCCACATCTATGATCCGACTATGGGCTCTGGGGGGATGTTAATAAAAAGTTTGGAATATCTAACTAAAAATGGCTTTAATGTAGGCAATATATATTTGTATGGTCAAGAAAAATTAGAAGAAGTTTGAAAAATTGCAAAAATGAATTTTTTGCTTAGAGATTGTAATTTTGAGTTGGGGAGAAATGCAGAAGATACTTTTAGCAATGATTTACACAAAAACAAAAAATTTGACATAGTATTATCAAACCCGCCATTTAACCTACCATTTAAAAAAGAAGATTATGGGATTCTTGAAAATGATGATAGATTTAAAGAGTTTGGGTTAGTTTGAGGGGATGGGAAAGCTAATTACAACTTTTTTAGTCATATTATATATCATTTGAAAGATAATGGGGTTGCTGGGGTTGTAATGCAAAGTGCGGCCGGGAATGTTGGTGGAAAAGAAGGGGAGATTAGGAAACAATATATAGAAAAAAACCTAATTGAAGCAATAATAGGATTGCCTAACAATGTTTTTTCTAATACAGCCATTACTTCAAATATTTGATTTTTTAATAAAGACAAAAAACACAAAAATGTTTTATTTTTAGATTTAACTCACCAAACCAATAAGGTTAATACTCAACAAGTCTTATCTAAAGAAAAAGTAGAAATGGTTATTGATATTTTTAAAAAATTTAATAATAATGAAAACTTAGAAAATATTGATTTTGCTAAAGTACTATCTAATGAAGAAATTCTTAATAATTATGATGGAAAATTAAACATTAATCAACATATAGTTTATGAAGAAGAGGAAGAAAAAGTTGATATTAATCAACTAAAAAAAGAACTATTTGATATAAAGAATGAATTAGTGGAAAGTTCTAAGCAAATTAATAAAATTATAGATGCTTTAAATGATCAAGATTTTGATTAGTTTTTGCTTAACATTTATAATTTT